TTGGGGGGGGGGGGAGGGGCTTCCACCTAGGATCTCACGGCTGGTATGGCCCCTTTCACCGTTCTAATACATTAACATCTACTTTTTACCCGGCAATCGAAGGTTCTCATACCCGATACATTTGCCCGCGCACTCTTTTCTCAGGACCGATAACTGGGTATTTTGTTGTGGGGGGGGGGGGGGCTTGAGCTAGGTGCACGGTAACTGCGTCGCTCCCTTCATGACCTTGACCTTTTTCCTTTTTCACTCCGCTTTTTGTGTGTTGTGAGCGGAATGTAAATTTAAAAGAATGACCCCAATCTACCCCTTGTCATCTTTCCTAAGGGAGAGCAAAGTGAAGTGACACTGAAAATCTGCGAATCTGGAGCAGAAAGCTAAAATATAGATGTTTACAAAACATGTAATACTATCACGAGAGAGAGAACGAGACACAGAAAACAGAGAGAGAGAGAGAATTAAAAACGTATGCTCTTGATGAGTTCATACCTCTCTTAAAGCAAAGGACAATGAAACAAGGGGATCCTTGACTATCACCCATCCAATGAAACGCGGACCTTTTGGTTAAAAAACGCGGCTTACTAGGTATGAGCATGACGGTTCCCAATTCCGTACAGGGCTTACACCAATGCACGCTTTTCCGTAGTAGGAAGCTCTAGTACCAGTAATAATCAAAATTCTAAATACTAAGAGTTGCTTCCAAGTTCAGTTTTTGTCATCCTATGTTGCCTTCAACCCCACCCCTCCCCTCGACTGTACCTTTTAAAAAAATCAATAATCCCCCTATTCCGGAGCCCTATACTTCGCGCAGCGTACAAGTTGAATGAACTTTGGTGACCCGAAAGATCGCTGGTACTCATAATGTGATGCGAAAGTACAGGTTCACTGACCGGTCACGATGTCGAGCCCGACAAGACGCTTGTTACATTATTATTGAATGAATTTTTTCCAGCCAAATGTAAACGAATATTCCATTCCAGACTGGGAGACAGCTATGCTGAGCCCATTTAAGAGTAGGGGCAGTAGAAATTGTCTACATGTTCCCCCTTCTTTGTACTTGGCTTTTTAAATCTTAATCAAATCTTAATCAAGTGGAAAATGTTAACCTTTGATTTTTAAAATGGAGGGACTTTGTACAATTCTTATTATGGAATCTTCAGTAGGATTATTAATTTTTATATTGTTTAAAATTATTCATTACAGAAAATACGGCAAGATGTCCAAGAATAAAAAGAACAAGACAGAAGAGGCAAATGATGTGCTCACAAGGATTGCCATTGTCAGCACTGATAAATGTAAGCCCAAGAGATGCCGACAGGAATGTAAGAAGTTCTGTCCTGTGGTTAGAATGGGTAAGTTCAAATATTTTACCTTCACTGCTATGGTAATAGTAATACTTACTTTTGCGTTAAATTGATTTTATAATTGTACAGTCCAGCACAGGCATAGCAAAATCCACGGGATGCGGAAATGTTTTTGTTATGAATTTCTCTGTGAACATATCTTATAATTCAAAGAACCTATGTTAGAAAATTTTTGGACCCGAAAATCTGTTTGCTATATATATATATGCATGCTGTATGTTGCTTGTTGTTGGGGTGCATGTTATACTCTGAAGTTGTGATAACTATATGGTGTATTATCTGTTGGTGTTATTTTACGTAAAGCCTTACTCATACCTGCCGACCCTACAGAAAAAATCAGTATATTACCGACTTTTTTCGTCAAACTGCCGATCCACCGATTTTGAGAGATAAGCCACCGCCAAGCGCCCCACGTCTTCTTTATTGCTGTAAATTTTCAAATCTTTGTGTGTAGTAGGCCTACACTTTACGTACCAATTTTGAATTACCACCCATCCTTTGATAAAACACTAGAGCTGGAAACTAGATCACGGAACCAACACGTGAGTTGCCGGCATGCAAGAGGCGCGTGATAGCAAGGCGGCATGTTATTGACTGCCTAAAACCAGAGAGTTACAGTAATACAATGTTAAAACTGCTAAAACTAAACAGGTTACCAATGATGTCATTGCGGGTTTTCCCGATACTGCTTTGCTAAAGGCCCATTTAGACGTACAGTTCGCTGATCGACGAACTGACAGTTTAACCGACGGACGCTCGATCTGTGTCATCGGTAAACTGAAAGTTTGTCGACGAGAGAAGTTCCGCTTAGACGTACAGTTTTTTATCCGTCCTTGGACTGTTGTAGCTAGATCTAGGTAAAAAACGTCAACAATAGCTGAAGCAAGCTACATGGATGATTTGGCAGCATTTTTTGTTCTCAAATCCAAATACAAATCTAGAAACTGGACCATCTGGGCTAAAGAATGGCTATTAAAAAGAAGTACCTACACACACAAATATTCTATTTCCACAATACTGGCATCGTTCGATAATGTTCGATGAACTGTAGAATAGTTTACTTTTTCAGTAGCCACCTCCCCTCCAATTACTATTCGTCGGTTTTGGTCCCAAGAGTGTTTCAGGGGGACAGCTAGAAATCTAATAAGAATGTGAAGGGGGGGCACTTTACCATGATTTGATGTTTTGCCGTTAGGTTTGATATCTCTCGCTCGCCGCGCATCAAACATAACTTCTGATCTAGATCTAGATCAGATCTCTAGGTCCAAATAAGCGGGGTGGGAACTGTTGAAAAGACGCCCAGATTCCTTGTTATTCCACACGGACATTGTACTAGAACTCAGCTTACTCCAACACATCTCGGCAGTATACTACACACCACGCAGTACATTTTTTTGCCTTCACTTTTGAAAGTGAAGGGGCTGGCGAATGGTAATTCAAAAGCAAACACACAAACATAATTTAACTTGGTGATCCGGTATTAAATTGCGCTCCCCGCGTGAATTTAACTAATTTTGGGTCGCTGGTCATGAAAATCTTATTATTTTTTTGATTTGACGAATATTTAGGAAATTTTTGGAATGTATTTTCAACTACGCCTGGGGTAACATCAAAGAAGCCGCTCCCTCGTCGTCACTGCTTCGGTTCGCCAGCCGGTAAATATCTGGCGTCGCCAGATATCTGGTGGTTGGACGGAAAACCCTTCGATATCGAGAGAATTGCTCAGTTTCCATGTGAAGTTGACGGGATGCCGGCCATCCTCTCGATATCCTACAGTTTGTCGATCAGCGAACTGTACGTCTAAGTGGGGCTTAAGGTGTAGAGGGGTGATCGGCCACAGTTCAAGCGATGTCACGCAATTCAACATATTTTCCTGCAAAATTAATATTACATCCAAAGATAGACTTTGAAAAAGTGATAGCAGAACTAGATTTATGCACTAAAAATCACACTGAGATGCAGATTTTCATTCATATACTTATATACTTCAGTTCCTTACTGACTTATGAACAGTTCTACCTCAAAATACATTTTAAAAAGCCCCACTTTTTGGCAATACTTTCCAATGTAAAAGTCCCCCCCAAAATTTTGAAACAAAAAATCCCACTAACTTTTTAAATTTATCAATGGATTTTTAAAATTAATAAACAACAGTTCTTAGAATTTACTCTTCTTTCATTTAAGCTGGATAAAAATGTAATTTTTCATTGTAATTGCTAATTTTGGTTTTTTGCTCTTTGTCATTTTCTACATTTCTTTGAAGTCGCAAACACACTCATGTATGTGTGGGTCAAAATATTAATGCGGGTCCCCAATTAAGTATGCGGCAAGTGGTAATATAGCCTACTACAGATTTTTGGACAAAAATTTGTGTCAACTACAGATTTTGGCCCAGGCAATGTTGGCAGGTATGCTTACCCGGGTAATATATTGTTTAACCCTATGAAGTTTGATACACTTCGCACAATTGATTGGGCACCCTGATTGTATACTTTTTTAACTTCTAGGACTGTTGCACATGCAGTGAAAATGGCTGCAGTATTATGGTTTCCTTTCCGGGGGGGGTGTTTGTCTTTTGCCAAAACATGAGCCAATGGTTTTTACCTTTTGTTTCACAGGAAAACTGTGTATTGAAGTCACTCCCACCGATAAAATAGCCTTCATCTCTGAGGAACTCTGCATTGGCTGTGGTATTTGCTCCAAGGTTAGCATTTTATTTTTTTTAAATTAAACGTGGAACAGTTACAGTTTGCTGTGTGAAATATATGATCATGGAGAGGATTTCCTGTTTATTTTGAGGTTACTAGAAATTGTACTGGTTTTGACCAGATGGTCGTGAATACATCGGTTATCGATTTTCAGTGTGAAATAATTACACAGTATAACAGAAAAATCAGATTCTGACTGAAATCATTCTTCGGACCAACTTTTAGGAGGTTTTCTTCTGGTTTGCTCACCTTCTAAAAGACATTCTGTTAGTATTATCCAGGTTTTGCGTTGCTGACTAGTGGCAGTAAAAGTTCATTCTCTTATTTTCCACAGAAATGCCCTTTTGAAGCTATCACTATTATTAATCTGCCTAGTAACCTTCAGAGGGACACAACCCATCGTTACAGTGCCAACTCTTTCAAATTGCACAGGTTAGTCTTTGATCTGGTTAGTCCCTTTATATCTCTGCAAGTTTTAGTGTGGGTATAATATAGCAATGCCCACAGAGCGCGTTTTGATCTGCCCATTTTTGGCCCCCGCCGCAGGGGTGTTTCGTGGGACGCACTAACACAAAGGTTGTTGTCTTCAACTTGCTCTCACGCCGCTTCTCGTGAATGGATATGAATGAAATTTGGCAGCCAATCAGAAAAGAGGTCAATCTCGCAGTATGCAGTTTGACAACATTGGACCCATCCTAGAAGCAGTCGAAAACGTTTGCGAAAGTGGTTGATGAGGTGCGCTTTGAAGATTTTTCGGAGCTGTGATTTGTCAAACTGACTGATACATTGTACACCATTTTTCTTTATTCCCTTAAAATTTCATGCTTCTGTGTTTAGCGGTTTTTGCGTAATCTTTAAAAATGTGGGAGTAACTAAGGGAAAAAGCGACATTGCCATTTGCGCGTGCTGGGTGGAACGACCGGCGGCTGGGAAATTTCCACTGAGTGACGTCATCAGCCATCGAGCGCTTCAAACGAGGTCCCGCTTATGTGAACCGGAAAAGAGGGGGAAGGATACTTGAAAACTAAACGGGGCCTTGATAACTTGCATTTTAGTCGCAATACAATAGAAGATGTAGTCATTTTTATTTGCTTGATTGCATGACAGAAGAATAGAAACAGAAAAGCAAACATCTTGAGAAGTGGTATGGCATTGTGCTTGCGTTATGAAAGCCTATTCCCCCCTCTGAGGAAAGCATACACTTGGACTCGTCCTGTGTACTCTGTTTGGAAAAGTGAGGCATTAAGATTGTTTTTAAAGAGTACGGTACTTATTTAGTCCAGTCTGGGAAGATAGTCCCGTTTATTCATTGTTATCGTTCACGTGTGGGTGCGTGCGCGTGTGAGAGAGAGAGAGAGAGAGAGAAGTGTGGGGAGGGGGGTAAATATGTTACATTTATAGTATGAGTTGTAGCCTACACATGCGAAGTATTCCCATGACTTGTAAACTATATTATCTAAATGCATCTTAATCTACCACACAATAGGACATTGACAAACAATGGATATACACTGAGACGATCTTATTTTCTATTACAAAGTATGCATGCTTTTACTAGTAGAGAACTGGATTTATTAGACTAATAAATCCAGTTCTCTACTTACATTTTTGTGACAAATTGATCAAGAGCCTTGCTTGGCAAGGAGGAACCTCTTATGTTCCCAAGTTCCGTTTAAATATCATGACTTTGGGAGAAGATATGACTGATAATCTTTGTAAATCTGTCAAGAACGCCACTTTTTTACCTGTTAATGTCTTTACAACTCAAAAAGTATGATGGATATTAAAAATCTGACAGCATGAGTAGATTTTACATTAAAAACTGTACTAGGATTAGACTGCCAAGTTTCATTTACATACTCCAAAAAATAGGTGAGCTATGACAAATATTGTCTCAAAAAGCACTGAAAACCGCCACATTTTTACCTATAAACGTCTTCATAACTCAAAAAGTAGGATAGCTGTGAAAAATCTGAAAACAGGACTAGATTCTGCACTAGAAAATGTACTGGGTTGCCAAGTTTCATTTAAATACTCCTAGAAATGAGCGAGTTATAACGAATATTGTCTCAAAACCCACCTAAGAACGTCCCATATTTTGGGGGGGGTTTTCATTATATAAGTGTACCAAAAATTAATTGATTAAAAAATTTGTAACATTTTTGTTTATTAATGGATTTCAAAAATTCAAAAAGTTCCATGCTCTGTGAAGATACAGCTACAAAATGCACCTATTTGCAAACACTTTCTGTCAAAAAAACGTTTTTCGTGGTCATTGCTATATAATAGATTTGCCTCATTGTAGTTGGGTTTTATGTAATTTTAATCATGATAACAGATTACATTTATATTAGAGCTGTGTCCATTCAACTTCACTATTCAACGTTCATGATCAATGCTCTATTCGGAGCACAACCATATGAATGCTGTGCAAAGAGTTTTCATAACTATTCAATATTCACTGGTTGTACCATGAATAGCTTAAGACAGGGCACTTGACTCTTGAAACGCAGCAATTGTTACTCTGCATGAAATAAGCTGTCGCAATAAGCTCCTATGTCCCTATTCGAAATTCGGAGCATTATGAATGGGGACATGATGTCGTGGCATTGCATTGCCCTGTCTGAAAAAACACGCGCGCTCATTGGCCCGTACCGTGAATCATTAGCAAATGTTGAATAATGGACTTACATGTTTTAAAAAAATATTTGACAGCGATATTCAACATGAATAGCTCACCCTTCAAAGCATCTGTGAAATTTTATTTTCTCAAAATCACAAGACTTATGGATGTAGTGCGTTTCCTGTAATAAAGTACTCCTTGCGTACAAAAATACAGGTTCCTAAATTATTTGACTCTCTCTCTGTGTCTCTCTCTCCCTAATTCATCTCTTTCTCTCGCCCTCCCTTTCCAAGGATACTGCAGCTTTGGAAGTCGCTAATTTTACCTCCGATAACATGGGCTTAGGGCATTTGACAAGCGTGTCGACAATATGTTTGATACTGCTGGAAAAGTAATTAATACAGTGAAACTTTTGATTCAACAAATTTGTCAGCCCTGACCTTCAATATCGTTGAATCAAGTGTTTGTTAGAGCAAACATGGGGTTTTTGTGTAGATAATCAGTCAACGAGCGAGTAATGTATAGGGACGTAACAGGTGGTATGATACCCTTAAAGACTTGTTTTGTTTTGTTGTTGTTTGTTTTTTTGCCCCTTTTCGACTTTTATCGAAAGTAGTTTTCTTTCTTGGAGAGGCATTTTCATTTCTTTGATGCCATATATTCAAGAAATGCTGGAAAATTCCAGGAAAATAAAATGAAGTCTATCTAGAGTCTATCAAATGGGAACGTTTAATTTCACAGAGCAGCACAATTCATTATATAGATCTATGTTTAAACTAGCTTATTGCTGTAATACTGATCTATAGCCAGCGAAAAAATGATTGATGCGTTTTTGTCTTTACTGACGTTCTGTGCCTGGACTGCTAGGGTGGTTCCCCCCCCCCCCCCCCCAAGACACACATTCACAGTTACACATATGCTCGCCGCCCATCCGACCCCAACACGTGCTAAGATGTGCACATGCCAACAAAACATTTTAAGTGTGTTGGTATGAAACAAGGCTGCTGGTTGGTCACATAAGAAACTGTAGACAGTAGGCTAAAATCAATTAACGGTTCTCGATGCAGGTGCTATGGATTGTCTCCATGAATAAATAAAAGCTTTATTTTCTGTAGGGAAATGAGCGAATCAGGGTTATTTTGATTGATTTTAATGAAAAAGAACCTGGTTCTGAGTACATTTTGTGTTCTCTCACAATAATAGGTTTGTATGATGTTTTGTGTTATTAATTACACAATAAAGTGGGATGACTTGCTGACTAATGTCAAAACTAATTGAAATTGATTGCAAATGGCATTGGTAACCAGTACTTTCGTAGTCAGTTGATCAGTAAATTGTTTAAAAATAACTTAATGCGTGAAGGGAATTTCATGAAAATGTTTATTTTTGTTCCTCTTTCTAGGTTACCCACTCCGAGACCTGGTGAAGTTCTTGGTCTGGTTGGAACAAACGGTATTGGAAAGTCGACAGCCCTGAAAATCCTGGCTGGAAAGCAGAAACCTAACTTGGGCCGTTTCACTGTAGGTTTAGGATTTGTGTTAAAGTCTGTTATAGCATGTACACTTTTGTCTGACCGCGGTTAAAACAAGGTAAAAAGAAATGGCTCTGTTCAGTCTTCTCCTATCTTTGCATACTGGTCTAAAAGTTGGATGACCAACAGAATCTATCTGCCTCTTTATTACAGCAAGCACTTAATACATTAAAAAGTTTGCATATTTTTCTCAACACCACACTTAAATATACATCTAAGAAACGGGGTGAGTAATTTTCGAGACTTGGGTGGAGCACCTGGAGATGTCTAGACAGCTGTGGGGTGAAATCGACATGCTTGCATTGAAATGTGGGAGCCAGGTGGTGTTTCAAAAAGAGCAATTTGTTGGCTGGGTTACTGAAAGTTACTGAAAATTTATTTTAGTGATCCGGGGTGTGCATTCAAAAAGTGGTTTTTAACCCTAACTCTGGCAAGGACCGATTAGATCGGCCCATTTCCTGCCATAAAACTGGCAGGGCCGATCTCATAGGACCATATAGTAAACTGCTGCTTCTGCCTTCCAACTAAATATTTGGGGCTTCCTAAAGTGATTTCTGATTGGCTAAAATGCTAATCTCCAACCAATCAGAATATTTCTACAATTCTGGCTTAGGAGAAGAATATTTTACTTTCAAAACAGAGGGATGTTTTGAAAGCTTGTTGATCAGGTCACAAGCCACTAATGCCAGTGTAGATCTATCACTTGTGTGGGTCTAAAATGGCCAAAAATCGATCTTTTTTGGATACATTTGAAAGTGAATTGACTAGAGAAAGTAATTCAGACACTGTTAGTGGTGGATTTATTGGTGTTCAGTCAAGATTGGGATTAGATCTGACAGACAATGGGGATACATGTACCAGTTCTCATCCTGCCCCAACTTCTCTTTCAAATGGAACACTAGATTCTACTACTTTGGGAGTTTAATAGGGGCAGAAAAAGGAGAGCTATAGAGTAAAGTAGGTTTCTTTTGCTATACTAATTATTACAGACTACCAGCAGATTGCTGAAAACCACATGGTTACAGTGTTTTTATGTTGAGTATGGTATGAAATTAGCGAGTATCAGCTGCGCTCGAAACAGACCACATGACAAATTGAAACAGTCATAACTCATTACCTGTTCTTCTCAAACCTATAAAACTATACATTTTCTGAAAGGTAATTGAAAAACCCATATTTCTGCTATCTCACATTTTTTATAACAGGAAATGCATTAGATTGGTGAATATGCTAATGAGCATGTACATTTTTTTATGTCAGCCATCTTGGACTTCAAAGTTACATAACCCCTTGAAAATTAAATCAAATCATGTGTTCAATGGCAAAATATAAAAGTTCATTCAATTATCTTTCAGAAAATATATACTTTTGTAGGGTTTTTATGACCTGTGAACTGCGCACTAGTCATCATCTCATTTCGCCCTCCCAAAAAAACTTGGAAAACTGAAATGGCATGTTTCTCTTCCCCTTTCAGGATCCTCCCGACTGGACAGAGATCCTGGCCTATTTCAGGGGTTCGGAACTTCAGAACTTTTTCACAAAAATTCTTGAAGATGACCTGAAGGCTTTAATCAAACCCCAGTATGTTGACCAGATCCCAAAAGCTGTGAAGGTACTTTGTCAGCGATGTTGAATGCATGAAATTTATATGTTTATCAGCATCTTATTAATTGAGACCTGTGATTAAAAACCATTGCTGTTCACATTCTGAATAAGTCACTGTGGATAATTTTCTTGTATGAGGTCTCAGCTTCCTGTCATTGGCCTCTGCTCTGTATGTTCTCATGTCTATGCGCACATACATATATTGAATTTATACAGCTCTCTCTATTGTAAACATTCACCCCTTGTTGTCAGATTCTCGTATGGCTTGGTTTGTGTGGTGGTTTTTTATTGTGTGCCTCTTCTGCTTTCTTTCAATATAATTTATGAGGCATCATGGTGAAATCAGGCGCACGTCAAAATAATGAACTTTTTGTTTTTTGGCTCAACACCTGGTAAATCAATTTAAGAACACTTTTATATGAAGATTTTGTGGAGAATTGATTAACTCTTTATCTCCAGCAAGCCTCTGACAGCGGCTCGGACACAGTCCTTTACGACGACATCAGCATCAAATTACTTTGGGGTAATTGCTGAAAACGGGTCCCTTTTATCGGGAGTTCATTCATTGGATGAAGAACTATCACAGTAGGTTCTCTTGTTTTGATTTAGTACCAAAAAAGGGACCCGGCATAGTCGGAGATCAAAGAGTTAAAAGGCACCCAAAAATGTGAATTTGCAGTTTTCAAGGACTTTTAAGCTATGAATCATTATGAAGGTCACCAAACTTTTGCGACCATTTTCTCGCTAATTCTACTTCTCAAACCAGGATACCCCACCTCCTTTAATCGCATCTTGACATCTGTTCTAGATATTTATTTTTTACATCGAAAGCAAGGCAAATGAGCAACCTTTTAAGACGACACCAATAACGGCATATGCCGAATGATGAGTGCCTGATTCCACCGCGTAGTGACACATTTTGGTCTGTTACTAGCCGAATATTGGTCCAATTGGTTCATCCTATTTCTCTATAATGTCCCTGTTTTTTGTTTATTCTTTTCCTACCACAGAATGTCTGTTATCACATCAGTGCGCTTCTTTTTATTGAAATAAAAAGTCCCCACTGACTGCTGAGAAGAGTGGTCTGTGTCTTTCCTTTTCCTTTTCATTTACCTAAGAGATCAGGTAATCTTGGCACAAGAGTTGAGTTAGCGGTAGTAAGTCCTGAGGCCTATGATTAAAAACCATTTGCTGTTCACATTCTGAATAGTTACTGTGGATTATTTTTCTGTATGAGGTCCATCAGGCATTATTTAATTTTCTTTTTGTATTGCTATTTGAACAAAATACAATTTGAATGTATGGAATTTTTTAAATTTTATTCTTCAGGGTGCAGTACAACAATTACTGGACAAAAAAGATGAACTGAAAAACCAGATGGAAGTCTGCAGACAGCTAGGTTATTCTTTTTTTTTTTTCAACTTTGGGGGGTTCCTGATTTGTGTTAAAATTATTCTAATAGTATCAGTGCTTCCACTCTTCCGTATTTTTACGGAAATGCGTACTTTTTGCCATTCCCGTACTTGTTCCGCCAAAATGTGGGACTGCATCGGACTGAAATTCCGTAGCAAAAGACCCGTACTCTCCTTTGTATCGCCTTGTATAGTATAAGTTTTGGATATTTACGGTAATTCTCTCGGCAATAGTTTGTTATGGTATAGAAACCTGCCAGATTGTACATTTCCTGCCATTGGCCATTAATCCGATATGCCCCATGCTTTCATTGCGGGTTGGTGGGCAGTACATTTTGTACCTGCAGTTTGATCAACATCTGGCGAATTTTTTGTGCCACTTTCCTCCTTTCTATCATTCCCTCACTCCGTCTATCTTTAGATTGTTGCCGCGGCTGGAAAATGTGCGTTGATCGAGTGTATCGACTTGTGATCTTAGGAAATTACTGTCAGGAAGAAACTTTTTCGCAAATTTATTGTCTAGATCTAGAGAACTTATCAGTGCGAAGATTCTACCGCACGAGAACGTGATGAAAGAAATTTGTGCTAAAACTACTAAAATCAAGAATAATGCGAAGTGGTCTTACGAGGTTGTGACATGCGACATTCAGACATGAAAATTCAGGGATACGCTGGGTAACTGTATTGTGAAGGTACATATCTATTTTTGCCTTTTATCAATGGTGGGATGACAAATTAATTGAAAATAGTAGCAATGGAAGGGGAACCTGCTTTTAACTCACTGACTACGGATCCCGTCACGGGGCGGACGGTCGGTCGGTTCGCAGGTACGGATTCCGTACCCCCGACGGGATGGACTTTGCGGTTTTGTTCTGTATCTTGTGCTCCCGTCACATGAACGGGAATAGACTCCAGTGCTAGTTTTGCCTCCTGTTTAGTTTCGTGCCGAGTTTGGCGGAAGTTTCGTGGTAACTTTTTAAGCAATTGAAGGTGAAGGACAGTCACCTCATCTGGGGTTGACCTGACCGGAACTCGCGCTACGTTTTTTCTATACAAATGATAGTAATCCGACAGTTGCGTAGAAGTAATGGTCACATGAACAAGAATCACATAATTTCGCTGTTTTCGATACTTCTGTATGTTTTGCTAGTTCTAGTGACTCAGGATATGATGTATCTGATAGTTAGGACCCTGGATATCTACCGGAACATGGCCCGAGTCGTAGTTTTAGTGCTAGATCTAGCACTAGTACTGTTGTTGTTGTTCGCACGACGAAATCACAACTTCATTCCCTACATCTGTCTCATGTAATTCAGTGTATGGGTCTGAATAAACGCACTGACCAGCTTTTATATTTTCTCCAAACACTCACACATGGACACAAATCAAAACAGAACACTTTGAACTTTTATTTTTGTTGTTGTTGTGAATTTCATTCTATCTGTCATGTCTGGAAATTTTTCGAAAAATCAAATTCATTTCAATTTTGAAACAATCATAAGAATTAAAGTATTAGACCTAGAGAACTTAATTTTTTTTCAATAGATTAAGTTTGAAAGTTACTTTACTGTGTCAATAGGGTAATTCTGAGAGTTGTGGCGGTGTTTTGAAATAGCCCCCAAAATGCCAGTACTCAGCGCTAGAGATTTGTGAAAGGGGCCAGTAGTCAGTGAGTTCAACATTGCCAGCAATGGAAAGATATGTGTGAAGAATTCAAACAAGACAAAATCTTGGTGAAAAAAATAGATTCTAATATGGGTTGTTTGCAATCTCTTCAAACAGGCTCCCAAATGCCATTATCAACCCCCTAAAAGTAATAAATTTCAAATTCGTCGGGGGCTTCGCCCCCTGATCCCCCGCAGAATTTTCCTTACTTTGCAGCTTCAGTTGGTGGAAGTACTGAGTATATATGAGTCATGATCATATATAATGGATGAGTAATTTTTAAAATAATTTTAGTTCCAAATAGAATATGAGACCTACTCTAATTCAGGCCTGTGATTTAAACTTTTGCTGTTCACATTCTGAATATGTTTTGTGGATCTTTTATCATTATGAGGCCTGTAAGAAATTAATTTTTATTTTTTTTATTTTTTTTTAGTATTATATTGCTTTAAATTGAAAATATAAAATTTTGTCTTGTTTAAGATCTGCTGAATGTCAGGGACAGAAATGTTGAAGACCTCTCTGGAGGAGAGCTGCAGAGATTTGCTATTGCTGTTGTCTGTATCCAGAATGCTGACATGTAAGCTGCTTTCAACAAGTGTTTATTTTGTCGTTTAACTGCTAGGAACATACAGAATTTGATGGATTATACTTTTATGAAATAAGTGAAACTGATGTCTGTGATATAGCGGTCAGACCCTTTGCCATAGCATACAATAGACCCGAGTTCAATTCCAGAGTGGGAGAATTTTTATAGACCCTCTCGGTCTTTATGCTGGGACATTTTTGTACCCTTCTCAAAGGTAAATTTTTTTTTTTTTTCAAAGCAGCGAATCCCTTCTCAACCCTGATAGGCAAGGTAGAAGCCTGCCTCTTAAATGATCAAAATTGTATTGATGGGGCATATAAAAAACCCTTCATTAAAAAAAAATGTTTTAGGAGTCAGTTCATGTGTCAAGACCGGATAAATGATGCAATTCACTTAAATAGCATGGAAAAATTGCTGGTTTGCAGTGCTCCCCAGATTTTGACTGCAGTTTGGACCTGTTTACATACACTGTAGCTTTATAGTTCTGAAAGTCCTCTTCTGCGACTGTCTATCTATGTTAATGGTGACAAAAGCAGTTCGTATGATACAGCTTTGCCTGGGCGATAGACCCTGAAAGTAGATTGCGCAAGTACTACTTCCTTATCTGGTTCAGACTTGATAATGGTGAAAAGAAGAAAGACGTGGTCAATGTTTGGAATCAGATTTTCAACCACCAATGGATCATTAACATGTACACAGGTCCTCTGAGATTTTTCGTCCCTATCCCAAGAAGACCAGGTGCTAAATCTGGTCTATCATGTAAATGGAATAGCAAAGTGGAATGGTTTCTCATTTTGCTGGGACTGCTGTCAACCATGGGTTGGTGTATGGGCCACAAGGATTAATGTAGAAGGAAATTTTGTACGACTGACCACAGATACTTGAAACGTCTACTGTATTGGGGGGGGGTCTCCTTATGAAATATAGGAATATGTTAAACTTAAGAATGAGCTGTGTTAAATTGCATTCGTAGACATACTTTCAAAGTTAAACTTACTGGGTATTTTTCATTTTTTTTCATCCACATTCAGCTTCATGTTTGACGAACCGTCCAGTTACCTGGATGTGAAGCAGCGTCTAAAAGCTGCCCAGGCCATCCGGAGCCTGATCCACCCTGACAAGTACATCATTGTGGTAGAGCACGATCTGTCTGTGCTGGATTACCTCTCTGATTTCATCTGCTGTCTGTACGGCGTGCCGGGGGCTTATGGTGTGGTCACTATGCCCTTCAGTGTCAGGGAAGGTATGTCCTAGTGAAAGTAAATGTGTCTGCTCTTGGGCCACTATTTTCTGCTCCTGTAAGACGGCTGCAACCCCATTGTGACCTGTGGATATTTGGCACTAGGTGCTTTTTCAAATCTTCATTTAGTTCGTTCTCCTGTGGTTTTTTAATGTTTGTGAGAGATAGTTGTTTCTTTGATCAGTTCTGCTGGAGATTCATGGAATTATTTTTTTCCTCAAATGATTTTGGCTTGTCTAATGATGAAATCATGTCATGCACCACGCATAAGTCATGTTGATGATAGAATGACACCACACCATTTCCTGAAGACAGTCGGTGTTCTCGTTCTCTGAAAAAAGTTTGCTTAGTTATGTGAAAAATACATTTTTTTTTTTCTTTGGTCATTTTATGCTTTACTAGTTGACAAAGTTGGATTTTATATGATCTTCATTATTTATATATTGGTGGGTATGTTATTGTGAAGTGAAAACCCAGTGGCAAGACTGGTTGGTTTTGTGAGAGGTAGGTAGGACTTATCAGGTGTGTCAGATTTATGTTCATTTTGTTGCTAAAATTGTCATTCGTGGTTGGATTTGGTAGGGAAAAAAGGAGAGGTTTTGTTTGACTTTTCAGGGTTCTCCGCTGATATGGTTTGTGATTTCAAATCTTTAAAAAAGAGTTGGATTTGTTTTTTGTCGCTGCTGACATACTCTTTGACACTTTTTCCTCTTTAGAAATGAAACTAAGGCTACAGCTTAATGTCAGTGATCAGCTCTTATCTTGATTAAAATATTCATAAAGTTCACTTTTATTGTGTCCACTCCCTGATGGCTCTAAGCACTTTACAATCATAACAAGCTTACCATTGGGAAAGTCCTGTGAATGAAACAGACTGCGTAACTAGGTTGAAAACTGGAGTTGCACTTTTTTATGTGCTGGCTTTGGCGGGGAATAATTGGAAAGGGCTAATTAATCATGTCAGATCTGTAGTGAGTTACATTTTCCAGTGTCTCTAAAGTTAAATGTTTTTAACCAGGGGCTTGTCTGATGATGAAATCATGTCATGCACCACGCATAATCATGTTGATGATAGAACGACACCACACCATTTCCTGAAGACAAGGCCATTTTTTTTGTTTCTTTGATTGTCAAAATAGGTGGTTTCAGCTAGATTGAAACTGGTTTTGCTCATTTTTATTTGCTGGTTTCAGTGGGGTTGAACCAAAAAGGCTTAGCTCTAGTCTGTGTCTTTCTATTTTCTTAAAAACTTGCATTGCCCTGCTTTTTTTCATATAGTCCCTTATAATTTTTACTTAACTTTAAAAGCCTTCGCGTCTTTTAACTCATTTCCTACCAGGCCAAAATCCACCACTGGCCCAGGGCTTTTCCTTGACCAGTCCCCCCCATACCCCACCAAAGGGAAATGTCAAAACATCCACATAAATACCCACAAACCATGTCATATTGCTCATCAAACTGGAGGTAAAAAATAATCTATCAGATGTTGATACGGTACTGAAGATTCATTCCAATTATATAAATTTGGGGTTTCTAAAATTGATTATGTAATACAATATAAAGGGTGTCATATGAAATCAACAATTTTCCTGCTTTGAAAAGTCTGAACTAAAAAAATAAAACAGCATCATTCAAACTTCACAGGTTGTTACTTCAAGTAATGCAAAAAAATTCTGAAAGTTATGTCAAGGCTCCCCTTTACGCACATATGTGCGTATATTACCCCTTAAACCTGCAGATAACCCCCTTAAAGTTTTGGTGGTGCGTGAGCGTTACTCTTTAAAATTTCATTTCGGGGGTTTGCATACGCTTTAAGACGTAGGTGGTGTGCGTCAGGCAAGCATCATTTTCCCCCTTCTCTGCCCCAAAGCTGAGTCAATGATTTAACAACACACCCACCACACACATGACACTGCTGTCACCTTTTGTCTGTGACTCTGTGTCAGAAGCAGTCGACCTAGAATCTACTTCTTACTTATCAGCTGCACGAAGTTTCTGGCGACACCGGCCTGTTTGAGCAGAGAAGCTCCGCCCACATTCTGGTCTCTCGCATTATATTTGCCGGTGTTGTGCCTTGAGTTTACCCTTGCCGTGAGATTACTCCCATCCTTCTTTAACACACTAGATCTAGTAAACATGAATAGTCCGCCGTCGAAAGACTGGGATGACTCTGAAGAATAATGAATTAGTTTATTTTCCAACCCTGCCGCTCATCCCAATGTAATCGAGATATCTAGATTTTTTAAACCCAAATTTCGAGCACCACGATTTTCCCGATTTTGATCGCGTGTGTCCCGATTTTGTTGTTGTTGTTGGGGTTTTTTTAATGGTTTTTTTGTTCCGTCTGTTGTGCCGGATTTTTCTAAAATCTTACTCTGCCTTCTTTTCTGTCGAGGGAAGCACTCGTTAAACTTTTTGTGAGCAGAAACTCGGAGCACTATTTTCCTAAATGTCGATGCCGAGTTTAGTAGTTGTGTTGGATCTTTGCACACGCGTGTTATTTCAAGTATGTATAATGGAAGTAGTATTGGTTTGGCATTCCAACTTGGGACATTCTCAAGACCAGGCCCTTGATCATTTTCGCTTTTATTTTTGTTTCAACTCAGAATTCTCCGATGATGGCCTGCTAACTGTTTAGTTTAAATTGCGATGCACAAATGATCAATATTATTCGTAGTTCTGCTGTTACTTTCAAAACAAGCTTTGTCCAAGTTCTGATTAGTCTGGGCCCGTCATCAAGACCTATCCGTAAAACTGCTTCAATCGCTCGTTCGCACCACGTGACATGACTCCCACCTAAGTGAGTTCCGCGAGTGTTGGGGACCGTTGACGGGGTCAATTTAAGTTTATGTACACCGGCTGAAGCGTTTTTCGGGACTTATCCAGGTGGGGGCGTGTAAAACACTTAAACTAGGAGAGCTTGACGTGATACTTCAGGATTTTAAAAAATAATGGTAAAACACACACAGGCGCGCGTACGCGCTCTACACACACACGTATCCCAGGACATTTTTAAAGTCAGTTTGGCAGTGACCTTGGAGATTTGTCGTTGATCCCAATTTTTTAGATTTCATAGATTGGCAGGTCTGATTTTCTTTGTGTATTACAGTCGGAAATGACCCCTTTTGGTTTGTCAACTTCATTTTATTTTTGATTGGCTCAACCACCACCGCCCTTCCCCCTCCAAATGGACACAACTCTAATTGTAGTCAATATTATTTGCTGTTACAATGAAACTAAGTTAATTAAAAATCGTCAGCATTCAGTCTTCGTAATGGTCACTGTGTGTGTCTGTGAGAATGTGCATGCAAGTTAAACGTTTACATGCAAAAATTCTTACTATAAAATTAGGAGATAACTGACTTTTACCCTTTAAGTTTCTAAAACAAGGGTGAAGGAACCTCTTTGGTCTGAAAAGGGGAGCCCTGTATGTACATGTACCTTTATAGGAGTGAAAATATGGGGTATATACTGAAGTCAGGGGAACACTTCTTCTGATTTTTAGGTTTCAAAGGAGACAGCAAAAAAACGCTGATGACTGAAAATCGTCTGTCAGTGCTTAATTTTCTTTCAAATCCGCTTACAGGAAGTCTGTTCTATAATTTCGAAAATGTGGATCGTCCGAAAATTTAGTGTCTTTTCATTACTGGATTGGAATAGACATTGAGCTACTCAACGCCATATTTTGCGGCTCTCGGTCCACGAGCCGTAGTCCAACAAGCCGCAATGGCTCGTGGTAGGAAAAGTGTTAATCTGAACGGTAATCAGTTTGTTCAAAGTGACAGGTTGACCATTTTTTGAAATATCACAAGATTCCTTGACCTAAAAATATGCATTGTTATAAAAATGAAAGAATTCTGCCCATGAAATTTTTTGATCTTGGGAGTAGTGTGAAGAAAATGTGAAATGGTCATTTTAACAGTTACCTAAACAACGGACAGACGAAATCTATGATGATTTCCATATTTGCAGTGCAAAATATTCCCTTGGGGGTCATTTCACAAACTCGTGTGCAGCTTCCCAGTGCATTTAATAATGAGATGGCTGAGATGTAGCGGTGTAAACAAACATGGGCACAAAAGAATGAACAGACTAATCATGTCAGATCTGTTGAAAGTTCCATTTTCCTGTTTCTCCAAAGTTTTAAACTTTAAAATCCAAGGCTTGTCTAATGATGAAATCATGTCATGCACCACGCATAAGTCATGTTGATGATAGAACGACACCACACCATTTCCTGAAGACAAAGCCAAGACCAGAAAGTTATAACTTATTTTGAGTTTGTTTTGTTTGTGTGTTATGAAAAGACTGGGAAGGCAACAATTAGTAAGCGACATGACTTCTGCATATATACTGTGACGTTTCTGAGTAAGGAATCGCACAAGCTCTTTTCTTGCATGGAATGGTTTTGTCATGCAGTTGCTCGATTTGTTAGTTTTATTTTTGTAAGATAGATTTACAAGTTACTTTCCTCCTTGGAATTGAAAAAGACTTAATTAAAGTTACTAAAATACTTCCACTGCAAAAACAAGTCACTGGGTGGGGGGCTGGCGTACCTGATAGCTTTTAAGAGAGGGGGACAAGACTTCACATTGGTTGACATTTTTATCTTCCGCAGTTGCTCAAATTTTATATACAGTGCTCGTTGTGTCTGTAAATGGAATTACGATTAATAACATAAAAGATATTTGACATTATTTGGTGGCCATACGTTAAAGTCTGATACTGACGATATCATTCGTGGGCTTTGTTTTTGTACCTGTCTTAAGTGTGCTGGTGTATCCGTTACTTTTTTTGTTCATATTTTTACTTTCAAGGCCCACCTGAGGTGAAAATTAGTCTCCCATCGTGATCTTGTATAGTTGTATTTTATATTTGTCGTAGCAGTGTTAAAGTGACGGTAGTCGTGAAGTGAACTTTCGCAGAAGTGAACAACTTGTGTTTCGCGCGCTCATATGACCTTAGCAGTTGCGAGCGCCGTAAAACCTTATACTACTATACTAAAGTGACGGTAGTGGGTGGTTGGTGGGTGCTCTGGTGTGGTTTGCTCCTTCTTTCCAATCTAACATCTATCATTTTTGTTTTCCCTTCTTCTTTTTTATGTTTGTTGCTCTCTTGTAACACCTCTAATCTTCTGGCGCTCATATGACCTTATGCAGTTGCGAGCGCCGTAAAACTGCTACTATAACTAAAGTGAAGGTTGGAAATTAGATGTGTGTGTTTTTATTTTTTAGCAAGTTGCCATGGACAACAGCAACCTTGTTGGGTTTTACATGTACACAACCTCTGAGATTTCCATGACCCTGTGATATGTGTCATTTTTGGGCAGAATGACCAAACTGGTGTTTGTAATTTTTTAAATTTTTTTTGGGGGGGGGGGGGGGGGGGATAAATTGTTTCATGGAGGGAAAAAACATTCTTTGGTCTAATTTAGCCTCTTAAAAACTAAAACAGAAATACATTGTATTTTAAAATGGCTTTGTGACTGTAGAGAAATGCTTAGAGGGCTTTTTTTTTTCTTTTTTTTTTTTTTTTACATTTTAAACACAAATAGGATGAACACCAGGAGTCATTTCTGTGTCCAGCTACTGTTTCTTGTTGGACTTCCACCAACTGGTGATATGTGGTCTATCTGCATCGTTCTGTTTGTTCTTCTCAGATGCTTATCTTATGATGAAAACTTGTCATGCACCACGCATAAATTCGTGTTGATGATAAAGAGACACCACACCCTTTTCCTGAAGATGAGCATAAATTTCGAGAAGCCAGTGTTTGTAATTATCTCAGGCTGTTCTGTGAGGGCATTTTTATTAACCTTGAGAGTGCTGCTGAATTGATAAATGAACACTACTGAAATGCATTTTTTCTTGTATGTTCATCTGAAGGTATCAACATCTTCCTGGATGGATTTGTTCCGACGGAGAATTTGAGATTTCGTGAGGCTTCACTGACTTTCAAGGTCGCAGAAACAGCCATGGAAGAGGAAATCAAACGCATGTGTCGCTACGAATATCCCAATATGAAAAAGAAGCTTGGTGAGTGATTTTGTTGTACAGAGCCATCTTGGTGCTGTTTTGGGAGAGTTGTCAGTTTCCTTCATATTACTCATTTTGTGCTTCCACTTGGCTAGATTTTGAGTTTTTATCAATATGAATGATTCTTCTTCTTCCTCTTTCTCGATGTATGGTTTTATGATCATATAGGTTCTTGTTCTACATGTAGGGACGGTATCTCGCTTAACATTAGTTTACTGAATATTCAGACAGTTCTTTCTTCTCAAGTTACTTCTCTTGTTTGTTGTTTTTTATAATATGTTGAATGTAATGCTCTTCAGAAACTTACATTGGGTGGTTGGCGGTTGCTCTGGTGTGGTTTGCTTCTTCTTTCCTATCAAACATATATCGTCCTTATCTCCCCTTCTTCTTTTTTATGTTTGTTACTCTCTTGTAACACCTCTAATCTCCTGGGGCTCATGACCTTATGCTGTTGTGAGCGCTGTAAAACCTCTACTAAAACTTAGAGGAGAAACCTACAGGAAGGGTGTCGAATGTTTGCAGAAGTGTTTTACCAACAGCTAATGCACATACCTTTAATTCAACCAGGTTCGTTTCAGCTGGCCATTGATGGTGGACAATTCACAGACTCTGAAATCATTGTCATGTTGGGTGAGAATGGAACTGGCAAAACAACTTTCATCAAAATGCTGGCTGGTCGACTGGAGCCCGATGATGGAGGTATGTATGTTGGGGGTATGTCGCGGTGGCCAGACTCTTGAGAATTAAAGTAAAATTGCAGAGACCTGAGATTGCCCTGGGAATTAAAGGAAGTCACCAAAATGACCCGAGAAAAAGCCAGTAAGGTCACCTTTTTGCTGGTCACATTTTTTTTTCTTTCCCCACTTCAAGATTGCTATGCTCAAGACTTCCTAAGATTTGAATTTTATCCTGTGGGTCATTCTGAAATGTGAAAAGATAACTTCTTATGATAAAATTGTTTTTATTGCTATTTTTCTTTATGTTGCCCGCTTTGAGATAGACAATGTAAATGGATAAACATATTTCTTTGTTCATTTGCACATATGGTGTAAAAGTAAGGTTTCCTGAAAAATTATATTTTATTGTTCACATATATATCCCCGTATAGTTTAGAGTTTGTTTTCTATTCTTATTCTAATTTTAAAATCTTTTTTTGTTATTTTTTCCATTTCAGGAGAGATTCCAATTTTGAATGTGAGCTACAAGCCTCAGAAGATCAGCCCAAAGCATCAGGGTACTGTACGGCAACTTCTTCACGAGAGAATCCGTGACGCGTACGTGCACCCCCAGTTTGTTACTGATGTTCTGAAACCATTGCAGATTGAGCCTATCTTTGATCAGGAGGTTTGTATACCAGAGTTCTGACCATTCAGTGTAACTGTTCAATGCTCACAACTTTTTTACTCTTGAAATTATATGATATTATATTTTTAAAATCTATGGGGTTAAAACTTATTGTATTCGAAGCATCGATGAAGTTTTGTTTCCACAAAATCATATTGCACTGTCGTGTACTTTTCAGGATGACAGTAGGCCTACATTACATCTGGGTAAATAGTGTGTTCCTTTGGGTCTAAATTCAACCTTAACTCTTATCCTGCGTCTGTGCCCAGATGCATATCTTATCAGCAACCGATTACGTCGGACGTGCCGGGCAGGCCGCCAGGGTCACTCAGTGTGTACTGTTGGTGTACAGCGCGCGCGCCGGGAAACGTGTGTTTTTGCCATGAATACCGCGGGAGTGTGTTAACCGATGATGAAAATAACGCTCTATCTTTCATAGCTTTCTATTTATAAAGTGTTACAAACAAATGAATACCCCCCCCCCTCACAAGCTGATAAGACATTGCGAGTAGTTACGCCCATTCAAATAACCTTTCTGGACGCTCTTGTTGTCATGAATGACCTGAGGTTCGAAAGGGGATAATTTAGGTCAATTTCCGAATGTTTTATACTCAAATTGTTCTTTGTACCTGCACAATGGTATTCAAAACTATCAAACAAGCTTATTTTTTATCAGGTAGTATCATTTCATACAAAATTAAGCTCATTTGAAATATTTTGTATAGAAAAATTGAAGTCTTGTTTCCTGACTATCCTTTTCGAGCTCCTCATGTCTAAGTAGGTCAATTTCTTCTATAATTTCATTGGACGAACATCTAGAGCTACCAACTTGGCATGTTTTGAATGAGACGTATGCCTTGATTACGAACCAACGCAGGCGCTTCTAGAAGAAGGCCACAAACGCACACAAACTCATGCAGGCTGACGCACACACACTTGACCTGCGTGAATGGGGATCCGACTCGGGACCCGAATGACACGTAAGAGGATGCGCACTGTGCGTGCGCTGAGCCAGGGGCTACACTGATTCGGGACCAGAACGTAGGCGAGGTGCCGAAATAGGCTTATCGGGCGACATAAACCGGCTCCCGCAGGATGAGAGTTAAAAGGCGGAGGGGACTCAATAACTTTTTAGTGTTTTTGAAAAAAACAAAATGGGTTCCTTTCCCACCCTCTCATTTCAGGTTGGATTTTTGTTGGTCATTTATGTTGTGGCCGTCCCTGCAAGTAGTTAGTTTCAAGATACCAACCAAGGCTTGTCTAATGATGAAATCATGTCATGCACCACGCATAAACCGTGTTGATGATAAAATGACACCACACCCTTTCCTGAAGACAAACCAGTTGCTGTACCTTTAATTTGTTTGTCATACTCTATGTCACAAATACTGTACGATTGGATTAATTTGATTGACCTGTCCAGTTTGATTCTTGACTTGGTAGGTGCTCTTCTGTGGTTTGGTATCGTCCTTTTCCCTCCTTTTTTTTGTGTGTTGTTACTCTCGTGTAACACCTCATCTTTAGCACTTGTATGACCTTATGGTGTTGCAAGTGCTGTAGAACTGTCTAATAAAGTAATAGCTGACATCGTACTTATCTTACTGCTGTATATTTGAAGAGTAACGGTAAAAAGAAATTATTCTAACATGATTTTGTATTGCTCCTTATGTTATATTCAGCTAAGATCCCGTAGGCTTAAGTGCTCTTCTTTTTTTTTTTACCCGGCTCCTGCACTACATAGGGACTGTATGTTGTAGTACATATTTTGCTTGTGTTCTCAACTGACAGTTTACTGTGTATTTTTGAATGTACAGGTTCAAAATCTGTCTGGAGGTGAATTGCAAAGAGTGGCCCTTACCTTGTGCTTGGGAAAACCTGCAGACATTTATCTCATTGATGAACCATCTGCTTACTTGGACTCTGAACAGCGTCTGCATGCTGCTAAGGTTATCAAGAGGTAATTCCTTTGTTCCAGTCTCGCAACCGGGGGCCGTTAATTCTGCAATTGACTTTTTGCTCGTTGAGAACATGGTAAATTGAATTAGTGACTTGTTAAAAAATAAGAACTTCTCTTCAGAGTTTACAGTGCCGTAGCCCATATTTAGTATTATGTTCAACTGTATGATTAATGCTTTTATTTCTAAGCGCATATGTAGGATTCTGTAGCATGTCTCATTTCCAGGTTAATCTCCGTAGCATGTCCTTGTCCTATTTTGCACACCCTTTTTTCATCCAGCACTCAAGTTGCTCACCGAAGCGATAGTTTACACCACTTTTTCACAAGAGAACTTGTTGACATGATCAAGGAAAACCATAAACAGACCATTGTGGATCAGAAATAATTTGTGAGTCTTCGAGATCGTACAATCCTGTTATTAGAGAAACCATGAAGTTGCTTATCAAACAAGGAATCCGATGCTTTGACTGCACACAGGTGGCATGTCTATACAAGACATCCAATTCCGGCAACTTACCTCAATGGTAGATGGATTTAAAGAAAATGCCAAGTTCTCATTTCTGGTAGTTTTATGTGCAGTATCAATGTTGTAAATGGCTACTCTCGCTTCACTCACACTGGGGCCACTAAGGGAGATGGTCGATTTGTTGTTGTCCAGTATCTATGTTTATGGGCCACCTAGATTTCTCCAAATTGACAATTGCCTCGAATTTAACAAATCTAAGCCGAGCTTACATGCCATAATATGCATACTGCCAAAGTAGACGAGAAATAAGCTATATTTCACTATTTGTGAGGCAGCGTGGTGGAATCAGGCTCTCGTCAAAATAATCAAAGTGAAGAAACTGGCATTTTCCCGCAGGTTTGTGAATTTTTATCAAATTTTTATTTTTTAGCTCAACACCTTTCATGCCCAATTAAAGAACTAATTTCTGTGTGGATTTTTCTGAAAAGCGTTGATTAAAGGAACAAAATTTTAAATTTTCAGTTACCACGGACTCTTCAGCTAAGGAAATAATTAATCTTTGACGGCCATTTTCTCTCTAATTTTACCTCTGGAAATAGTGACCCCCCACCTCCTTCTTTCACAAATATCTCGACTTGTATTCAAGATACATGGATATTTTTTTCATTCAAATAAAGACAAGTGATTAAGCTTTAAAATGATAACGAAAACATCTACATGCCCAAAAATTGACGAGAGCCTGATTCCAACACGCTGCCTCACATTTGTTTGATTGATGTTTTAAAATTCTGGGATCATTCCAAATAGTTTAAAGTAAAAGAAAGCTCTCTGGTTATAACATGAAATGAAGCAGAATAGTATGTACAGATATTTATTTCAGATTCATTCTGCATGCCAAAAAGACTGCTTTCATCGTAGAGCACGATTTCATCATGGCAACTTACTTGGCTGATCGTGTGGTAGTGTTTGAGGGGAAGCCGTCTCTGGACACAAAGGCAAATACGTGAGTACTTGAATTAGTAAATTGTTGATGTTTTGTTTATTTCTTTTGTATTGTTACGTGCCATATCCTCATTTAGTGAAAAGCATTTACTTTTATAGGTCACAGAGGAAAAGGACTTAATTGTATTCATTCTATGCAAAGATCATTTTGAACTCTCAAGACCTGTCCTGTTAGAAGTCTTATGTTGCTGAGTTAAGTTCATTCATAGCAAAATATTAATTTCAACAATAGCCACGTTTTGATGAAGAAATATGGTTTATCAGAATTATGGAAGTAATTGTTTGTGGTGATCGTACTTAAGTTGAAAGATGTAGTACCGGTATGTTTTGTTTCTCAGCCCCACTTTAACTTTTGAAGAACTTTGGGAAAGCTTACTTCATTCCCGTCATGCTCGCGCACGCGCCTCCCGTGGTGCTACAGACTGAAAGTATCTTTAGGCCATTCCCAAAGGGGGGGACATTAACCATGTTCTTATGTACAGTAGAATTGTAATCGTAAATGGGCTGGTTCATCAATGTCATGCTCATAACTGCCGGGGCTCTCGTGGCCTAGAGGTTAAGGTGTTGGCCTCTCATTCAAAGGTCCCGGGTTCGATTCCGGGTAGCGACCAAAAAATTTTCCTCTCTAAAATTGTCTCTTTTCACATCCTTTCCTGATCTCTAACAATGTTCTGTTGTCTGCTTTCATTTCCACTTTCTGCCCCCACCCCCTCACCTCCTTTGCCCCCTCCTCTGGGCTCCTGACTCTTTCTGCAGCCTTTCTACGGCTACTCCTTGGCTCCTCCTAACTGCTGTCTTTCTGCCACACCCCTGATCTGCCGGGCAAAATTCAAAATTTCCTACCAACGAAAAAGTATTAGGTGTGTCCCGCGCGCTCATATGACCTTATGCAGTTGCGAGCGCCGTAAAACCCTATACTAAACAATCATAACTGCCTGGACTGCAACAGGGAATTGCTGCTTTTTCTTTCCTCGTCCTTAGTATCATCATTTTCCTCTACTTTGTATGTTTGTCACACACTTGTGACCCGCTATTTCCGGGGTGCCTTGATAGTCGAAGCAGACTTTGTACATTTGAAGCTAGAGGGGTGAGCAGATTAAGCCTGATTCCCTGTAAGTGCTTCTCTGTTGACATCCACTCCTTGGCGTTCATATGGCTTATACTGTTGTGAGCGCCGTAAAACTTCTACTAAAACAAAACTTACTTCATTTCCCCTGCTCACATGTACAAGAAATGATATAAGCTTTGTTGCATGTTCCATATGCATGTTGCTATTAGTCTGATGTGTTCCATTTCTCCTATTGCAGACCTCAGTCCCTACTGAATGGCATGAACAGTTTCCTGGAGTCTCTTGACATTACGTTCCGACGTGACCCAAACAACTTCCGACCTCGCATCAACAAACTGAACTCTGTTAAGGTAGGTGTTGCATTCGTCGTCCCAGCCTTTGTTCGCATTAGTAAGGGACCTTTCGTAAATGTTGGGAGTGGGACAGTTGTCTTCAGTCTTTCCGTGTCATATTTGTTTTTATATTTAACTCCCACTCCAAGAAATTTTCAGGCTAACGAACTTACTTTTTATCTTTAATTTGTATAAAATTAATCTTTCTTATCGCTCTTCAAATGCTACCAGTACTAACAGTGTTCTCATGTCAGAGCCTGTGATTAAACTATGTTTCCTAGCAAATTATGCTGAGATACATTTTCCCGAATATGAGGCTCACTCAATCCACTTTCCTTTTCTTTACTACCCCAAATTCTGGCTCTGTCAATTTTTGGGCCCAGTATTTTCTTACACTGGGAGTGGTGTCTTTAAGCAGATTCCATGGCCAAAATATTTAAAAGATATATTAAATTTCGGGCTTCCGCTTAAAAACCAGCAGTACTTTCTGTTTGGGCAGTTCGTATAGGAGGAATGCAGTCTTCTCCATCAGAGGGAGAGTAGCGTTAAGAATGGCTGATCTGCAATCAGGGCTATCATGTTTAAGCATAGGAATTAACTGATGGAAGATAATGATTTTTGTAGGAATGTCCCTCAACAGTGACAGACAGGTTAAATAAACGCCCAATATATCTTTTTTAAATGTCAGGATAGTTTCATGTTTAGTTTTTTGTGGCATCTAGCGCATTTTTCCCCCAAAAAATTCTTGAACTGTGTGGGAACAGTTATGCCAAGAAAGGTGATACGAGTTGTAAAAGATAAAGATTGCTGTCCTCTTTAGCTGGTCACCGACCTTCAGAGAACTGCCATCATGGTGAAAGACTTAATTTCACTTGTGAGCTTCTTGTACTTTTCTGGTTTGAAGGATTTTCAACTATAATTTTCCCTTTTCCCACTTTGTGCGGTCCTGGAAAGGTTGGGGATTTTGTAAGAATAATACAAGGTTGTTTTTTTGTTTTTTAAAAAATGAATTGCATGTTTCCCTTATAATTTATATATATAGACTGTCTTTGAAAGCCTATGCGGGTAGTTGGTGGTTGCTCTAGTGTGGTTTGCTCCTTTCCTATCAAACTTCTTTCATCCTGATCTTTTCCCCCCTTTTTTTTTTACTTACTCTCTTGTAACACTTCTAAACTTCGGCACTTATATGACATTATTTTGTTGCAAGTGCTGTGAAAGTGTTACTGAAACTAAAAGATAGCCTATGATTACAAAATGTTTCTTAGCAGACAATGCAGAGACACATTTTCCCGAATATGAGGCTGATTCTTTGTGTAATTTGCTGAGACCGACATGCTGTACTTTTTTTTTTCCCCGTCTTCTTAGGTCTTGGATTAAAAGTTCCTTTAGTTTTCATTTTTGTGAGAGAAAGTATGTGTCCTAACAACAAAAAGCAGTGCTTGACTGTATTGTGGGTTTTGTTGTTTTTGTTTTTTTGTGTCTTAAAATCTGTTTATTCACTAGACAGTAAAATATGAAACTTTTGTTTCTAACTTTATTTTGGCCTGATTTTTTTACTTTGAAACACGTCAGCAAAATGCTGTATTCCAGGGAACATATTGGGAATCATCATGCATGTCTCAATGTAAGGAAAAAGTGTTGTTTTGGACATGTCTATTACCTTGAGTATGAACATTCCTGCATTTTTGTAGATTGGTAAGCTTTTCATGCACTGGCCAAAATATATGTGAAAAAAGTTTGTTTTCGTGTAACGTAGTCTCTTTTCTGTTTATAATATTTTGCTGCATCAGCCTGTGATTACTAATTACATGCTTAGCCAGTAGTGCTGAAACAAATTTTCCCGAATATGAGGCTTTGCAGACAAGATAGATGCTATGGACCTGTATTGTATTGTTAATTCAAATGCAGCCTATAAATACTATAATGTGTCTAATGGCTAATGGTGTTTCACCTTGTTTTTCAGGATGTGGAGCAGAAAAAAGGCGGCAACTTTTTCTTTTTAGAAGACTGAAAAAGGCCTTGTCAAGGGCAGAAACTTGGCATGGCTTAAGGGTGGTGGTCTGTCTTCCTGGTCTCCTGTTGTGGGGGGTGGGAAGTTGTTGCTTGTGGAGTGGCAGCAATGGCATGTGTCTGTGGAACTTCTGGAACAGGAACGCGGCCGCTGGAGAGTGACTCCAGCCCGAACAGATGGATGCGGCCAACATGTGGCTGGCACCGTGGGGAATGGTGAGCCTGAGTGGGAGCATGGTGGTAGTAGACCCTGCAGTGTCCGGTACGGATGTCTGCCTCGGAGTGGTCTGGATGGTAACGCACTCTGGGGTCGGATTATCAGGGTAGCAGGATTCCCATTTTCCAACCCCCCAGCTGGTGGAGCTTTGTTGGTCACAGTGAGAGGCCTCATGGTGTCTAGAAACTACAAGCAATGTTCACGCACCCTTAATCCATACCAAGTTTTTTGTGATATTACTTGTCTTCTCTTTATTTTTGTCTCTTGGGTTACGGATTTTTTAACTCTAAATATTTATTGGTGTTATTATTTAATCAATTATTTAAATTTCTAATCTCTTAAGAGTCCAAAATTGACTGTTTAGGTTTGTGGACATCATGAGGTCTCCATTCAAACAAGCTCTGCTTAAGCACATGGAAGTGGGACTGCGCCGGGGTGGTGGCTGGTAACAAAGTAGAAACTAGTGCTGTGGGTGTTCCTGCAATGAAGGCATTTACCCTTGGTGCTCTGTTCTCAACCCCCTGTTCTCAGATCTTTGCTGCCAGGTTAGCTCCTCGTGAAAAGCATACAGATGATTGTGACAGCCACCCTGAAAACTAAAATGGATGATTTTCTTTCACTGCATTCAGATGGAAGAGTTGCTGCAATGTGTGATAGTGATGCAGATTTTCTGTTTTGGGTTGTCATTGGCAAGACAATGCATGTTCTGCCAAAGTATTGGGCATTAACAATGGTTTGTTTCTTGTACTGTCAGGGCCAGGTTTAGGAGTGTTGTTACATGAGAAAAATTGATTTCTTGTACAACCTCAACCATTTCATGTTACAATTCCTGGGTATCTCCATGGGCAAAGTTTGGGGGGGGGGGGGGGTAAAAACTTGGAGGTGTTCCTGCGCTACACATTCTGACATGGAATGGCCACTTACCTGTTTGAGATTGAGAATCACATGGCAGTCCTGTTTGAGGAAGAGAATATTATGGTAATCAAAATGTTATCATTAACATGTGAGAAAAAGAATGTATTTTCCCTGCTGTCTGCAATTTTTTAAATTAATAAATCTTCTGGAAAGGCTTAATGTCTTGTTTTGGTCCTTTGTGTGTGTGCTGTTTGTTTTTGTGCACTTCATCCAGAAAGTTGTGGCACTGGGGAAAGTTGCCCCCAGTGACATTGAAAGGAACAGCACAAGGCCTGTGTAAGTGTAAGCCCATGAGACAACTCAGCGTCACTATGTGTTTCACACTTAGTTTAGTTAGTTTTAGTAGAGGTTTTATGGAGCTCGCAACTGCATACGGTCATATGAGCGCCAAGGGGCGGGTGTCAACAGAGAAGTCCTTACAGGGAACCGGACTTACTCAGCTCACCTCTCTAGCTTCAACAGCACAAAGTCTGCTTCGACTATCAAGGCACTCCGGAAATAGCGGGTCACAAGAGTGTGACAAAACATACAAAAGAAGTAGAGGAAAACAACGTTAGTAAGAAGGATTAGGAAAGAAAAAGCAGCAGTTCCCTGTTGTAGTTCAGGCACAGTTATGAGTTTACAATTCTACTGTGCATTAGAACGAGAATTGTCCCCCCTTTGGGAATGGCCTAAAGACACTTCAGTCAGTGGCACAGCCCCGGGGGTTCAGCAACACTGTTAATGTTCAAATTGTAACAAGACTTCAACTGTTAGGGGGCTCTCGTGGCCTAGAGGTTAATGTGTTGGCCTCTCGTTCAAAGGTCCCGGGTTCGAATCTGGGTAGCGACCGAAAAATTTTCTTCTCTAAAATTGTCTCTTTTCACCTCCCTTCCTGCTCTCTAGTAATATTCTGTCGTCTTCTTTCGTCTCCTCTTTCGGCCCCCTCCCCCTCACCTCCTTTGCCCCCTCCTCTGGGCTCCTGACTCTTTCTGATCTACACCTAGCCTTCTCGGACAAGGGCAAAAAATCTCAGAGGACCCGTGTGCAAGTTGCGCACGTTAAAGATCCCCTTGTGGTCTAAAATCAATAAGAGTAGGCTTCGGCCGCCACCCGGGCAAAATTCAAAATTTCCTACCAACTAAAAGTATTAGGTGTGTCCTGCGCGCTCATATGACCTTATTAGGCTATGGGCTACTGGGAGTGAACCTCCCCTCTCCTGGGGATTTTACGCCACCATGATTTTCTGAAAGGGTAGGACCTAGGGACTTAACAAAAAAAAGTTTGCACCAAAATGTTGGCAATCTACAGAGTTACGGCCCTTGATTGTCCAGAAATTAAGAAAACACTTGATTTTTATTTTGGGGTTCTCTGTGAAGCCAAAAATGTGTACTTTCATATGATGTAAAACTCAAATATTATAAGATGATGTAAGTGTTGTAAAAAAAATAATTCCTAATTAATTACAAGGTGCAAAGAGGAAAAAAGAAAATTCAAAGGCTAATTTCTAAAAATCTATAGAAATGATTAATTCCATTGCTTCAAATCTTCTATAACTTGATACAATAGTTTTCTGATAGGTACACACTTTGACTCAAAGTTTGACTCAAAGTTTGAGGCACAAAATGAGAAGGATTGTGTGCAAAATAACTATGAGTTAAGGAGTTATGACCCTTGCTATTGCTATATA